TTCCTGGGATCTCAGGAGCCAGGCCCCGAGCTCCGCGGCCGGGTAGTGCAGCGGTTAGAGCGCCGCCCTTTGGGGCGGGAGGCCGGGGTTCGAATCTCGGCTGGTACCTGCCTTGCCAGGGGGGTCCTTGGGCAGAGACCCCCTAACGCTTCGCCTGCCTACCTCGGATGAACTAACTAAGAGAACCGCGCCGGCTCGGACGTCGCCCAGGCGTTGGGGAACCAGGACAATCTGAGGATAAGTGGCTACTGGAACAAACCATACACGGACCAGACAAGAGAGCCCGGCATTGGTGGAATGAATAGGCACACATGCACACGCACACTGTAAATGTTGGGTTTCCCACACTGAACCCTATATCGGTTCTCAGCAGGGCTTCTTTCAATGGTCGCCTTTTGCAGCTCTGGCAAGTAGATTCCAGAGGTCTGAATTTCAGCCTGACGACTGTGGAGAGCATTTTTAAATGAAGTTGATTGTTTGCTGGTCACTCGGGCAGATTTCCTAGAAGCCCTGTGTGGCAGGAGGCTGAGAGATACGGTAACTCTGAATCCATGTTTCTCAACCTTAGCCCCTTTAAGATATATGGACTTCATCTCCCAGAATTCCCCAGCCAGCCAGCATTTTTCATGGTGTAAGTCATAGTTTGAGGTCCTTTGACACCTCTAGCTATAGAAGTTAAGGTGCTCTCCCATTGTCTAGGCAATATGGGACTCTAATTCTTTATTCCACTCATCTTTTAGCATCTGCATATAAAATTGATCTATTGATAGCAAATATGTATAAAAACTAATAGGGTTTTTTTTTTGTTTTAAAGGATTTAACAAGTTGTTCTATTATCTTAGGTGTCTCAAAAGTTGAAAAGTTGGACTGCTCGTCCAAACTGTTATTGACAAATGTAGCTCTAAATATTGCCATTGGGTTACATGGGATAGATGATATTTATCTCTCAACACAGAATATGTTAAAAATTCATCATCATGTATCAGTTGGTCCAGAGTCAATATCTCCACCTCCATCCAATTTTTCCATACCACCATCTTTTTCCCAACATTTAATGTTGGGTTTCCCCATAATGTCAGTGCTCTCAAAATGAATATTATTCCCATATTAATTTATATTCTGAGAGGAATTCCTGTTCAAATATCTGGAAAATATTTTCCAAAAATAAATTTTTTGTTTAGAAAACTTCTGTGGGGTTCTTTGGTTCTGAGAATATCTTTACAGAAAATGCAACTACCAATTAATGAGGGAGGATTCAGTTTTCCGAATCTGGAGCTATATCATCATGCTTACCTATTGTATTAAATGCTTGAAGCCAACAACAAGTGTCAATTTTCTGATTTGGGCAATGTTGGAATTTACATATATAGCACCCTTGGTTGGATGGACAGTTTTGGATCTAAATATATTAGAACTCTAGTATCCATGGGAACAATTATGCCAATTAGAAAGCTATGGAATGCAATGTCCAATAAAAAAAGATTCGACCCCCTTTTCCCATGCCAAATTGACACAGGCTACTTTCTATCTTTGCAAAAATGATCCCACTCCTGAAAGGAGCCTTAATGGAAAATCAGCCACATGAATCACAAATGCTTCTTCTCATGTGGGCTTTGGGGGAAAATGTGGGTCCCAGTTCTTCCAGTCCAGTTCATGTCCCAGCTCAGCTCCAGCGAGGCTGGGGAGATCTTGAAGCAGGGCATGGAGGCTACCTTCCCAAAATGCAAACCTTCTGTAAATTAAGCCTCCATGAAAACCTTCTGTTTAAAATGAAAAGTGCAGTGGATCCTATTGCTGCTTGGCAATACGTTATAGAAATATTCTTGCATGGTGAACACTGGAAACATTTTTTCTAAGTTAAGTTGGGGACCAGGGGTATACTATATAAAGAGAGCATCTATGTTCCTGCCAACACAGCAAATAAGCTTAGAAAAATAGCTTGGAAGTATTGGGAGTTTCTTCCCACTCGGGTTTTTTAATAGTTGTGACACAAGGGTGCCAAGAAATGATTAAGCTTTCTCTCAAGCTGAATGTCCTTTTCTGCAGTTGAGTTTCAAAAAAGCTCCGGCTGATCAAAGAGATGCTGAGGACCATGAAAATAGAGTTTACATCCCAAAGGCAGAAGCCTAACTAGAGTGAACCCGTGCACTGAGCACCAGTGGCGTACCAGCTTTCCAAAAAAATACTAGAGGGATCACATCTCACCTGGTGGTAATCTTCCCCTAAAGTTAAGGTCCTGAAATGACCTTTGGGAATAATTCTTCTGATTCAGGGAAGGAGAGAGAAAAAAACATACATATGCACACCCAGTTTGATGTATGCAACAGGAAATCTTGATGTGTCATTGAATACACACATGTGAAGATGTGATGGAATCCTTCGGTGAAGGCCACGCTCGGTGAGATAAGCACTGCCTTAGCCCCCAGCAGGAGTGTGGGAAGGTTAAGATGAGACTGGCACCACCCTAAGGAATTCGCGGGGTTTTGCTTGCTGCCTTGATGAGTTTAGATTCAGTCTGGCAGGATTCTGTCTGTGGTTGGAAGATGATAAAAGCTATTGAACTAGACCAGTACTGTCTCGTGGAGTTCTTTGGGCTGAACCTGACAGAAGCAGCTCTTTGGCACCCTCTACTTTTACAGTTTTAAATGAATGCTTCAAACATATTAATTGTGCAGACTAAGAGAATTATCCTACACAGGTGGGAAGAAAATACACTTCTGATGTTAAAAGACTGGAATTTGAGAGATTAGATTTTTATCAATTTTCAAGTGCCTTTCTATTGTAAAATTGAGCAGAGGGTGCATATGTTTCCATGTGATTTAGGTTTAACAATACATTGAGCTAGTCCTATATTACCATGGTTCGGGTCTTTTTTATTTTTTCAGTTTTTATCCCTATTATTTATCATTTTTACTGTATTATCACTGCTGTCTTATTATTATATTTTGGTTGTTATATTTTACCAAATTTAAAAGGAAAAGAAGACTTGTGCAAATGCCTCCTGAAGCATCAGGACTAGTCTCTATATTAGTCGTTTCTGTTTTCTTATCACTAAGTTAATTTTTATAGTTATATTATCACCTGATTCCTCCCTATCATAAAACAGCATACCATCAGAATGAAATTACACCAAGTTCATTCTTGTTATTTAAAACTAAAAATGAAAGAGACGTAGGGTAAAAAAATATGTGTATCCCTTCTAGTACGTTCCCAGGCGTTGCAGAAAGGCCAGTATTCAGCCTCAGGTTTATGACCTAGACTTTGGCCCTCCTTGCCTTCTTTAAACCTCAAAGGATTTCACTGGAACTTCAGATCCTGGAAGAACATGCTTCTAGAGCACACATTAACTCTTTCTCGTGGTTTCTGCATCTGATCCTCTCTCTTTGTCAAGGTAAGGGATCCATCTTTTCACTTAATTGCAAGCCCTTTTGGTTCACTAAAAGGAAGGCTGTTACTAAGACTGCAATCCTAAATGTACATATGTAAGCGAATATGTCAGTGGCAAACTCATTTGTGGTGCAGAGGGTTGGGCTCTACCCTGAAACTTTCCAATTGTTTCCAGTGAAAAGAAGAAATGTGCTAGATAGGGTGAATTTTGGGGAAATCATGGCGCAAGGCCTGATATGGATGTGATCAGATGGGGAATGGAAAGAATTTGGAAGGAGGGGGCTTCTAAAGCCCCCCTTCGTTAGAATGTATTCATTCTTCAAGAGGTTTTATAGGTTTTAGAGTTCTGAATTCCATGCTGCTAAAAAGAAATGAAGATGAACTGTGTTAGAATCAAAGGATCAGCATAATAACAGTTGCTTACAAACATGCAAAAGAGTTTCTCATAAAAACAATCTTTCCTAGCCAAGGCACATCTATAAACTCCTAAAAATACAAGTCACCATCAAACCAGAGCACATTCATTTATTTTTAGCAGCAGGTGGTGTATGGTGCAGGAGTTGGTGCAAAACTTAGCTACACTGCAGGGTATACGTGTGGATTATGGCCTGATAATAAATAACTCGCCCCCAAAGTTAGGCTCTCTTCCTGACAAGCTTCTCAACAGAGGTGCAGTTTTACAGATTTCTCTAGAAAAGATGGTGTAAAAAAGCATAAGCACCAAGTCCACATCCCACGCGTACAAGGGCAGACGCATTGTGCAAAAGAGAGGATACCAGCCTACTAATCCTACTGAAAGGGTGACATGCCAGACAAGATTTAAGCGTGGTAATACAGGAAAGAAGGGGAGAAAAAAGCAATGGTGGCCTGGCCTATTTTTCCTGGAGTCTCATTATTGGCTAATGAATCAGACATGATAAGGGAACTTAATGAAGGGAACCAGTTTCGATTAAGTCAGCACTATTGTCCGGACATTCTCCAAGGCTGCAGTTAAGGGTGTCCACTCTTGAACGCTCTGGGATCTGCAGCAGAAAGGGTGTGAAAGTCAGATATCAATCTAGCTGTACATTTTAAAAATCTGTAATAAGACCCACCAGGCAAACAAACCTAGGCTATATAGCATTATATTTCCAGGAAAGAATCTGGGATTCTACCCAGTGAACAATGACCCAAAATATATTTGAGTTTTCCCACTTTGTAGCAGTTGTTGTAGTGGGCTTCCAGACTTAGTCAGAACCCTGGTCAATACTGTAGTGTGAATAATTCGGGGTGGGGGCGGATACAGGTCTGTTTAGTGCTTTTAGGTTTTGTTTTTGCTTACCACCCTGTTCTCTACTCAACAGAACCCTGGTTCATTCAATTAATTCAGTTTTCTGGGTTTCCATGACACATGAACTTTAAACCAAGCTAAAATGTGGTTGGCGACTTCAGAGTCTGCTGTGTGAACAGCTCCCCAGTCAGGCTGAGGGATGAGTGCCTCAGCCAGGAGCAAATGGCAATTGCTCATTGACCTTTCCTTACTTGGCAACACTTCTAGGAATGAAACAAAATTTATTTATTTATATTTCAAATTCGTCACCACCCATCTCACTGTTAATTGCTGTTGCTGTTAATTGAGATTTGGGCCAGACAAACTCATTAATGAAAGACCTCACTGATACTTCGAAGATCTCCTTTCACTTTTGATGAAACATAATTAGGAAGAAGCCAATAAGATTTTGGTGATGTGCTGTATTTTTTAGCATTTATTTTACCAATGCTTTCTAATGTTTTGTTATATGGGATTTTAATTTGGGAAGCCTAGGCACATACTTCCCTGTTAATTAGATTAGAGAAAAATTCCTAGATAATATTGACAATAGTTATTTAATGGCAAGCCTCTCACCCTGCCATAAATAAATCCAAGAGAAATGTGAGTGTCATTGCAAACAACGCTGCCATTAATTGTTTGCTGTAAGGTTTTTTTCACCAGTGGGAGAAACATCATCTTTTTCAGGGTTTTCTGCACTCCCCTCTTTGCACAAAAATCCATTGAAAAGTTCCACATCAGGTACTCTCATCATTAAGTTGTCTAACTTAACAATCATCATCATCATCATCATCATCTTCTATTGCAATGTTTTTGTTCTGTATAAAGCAACACTTAAATAGTATTGTTTCAGATTTTGTAAACAGTACAGTATGACCATTGATAAATAACTGAGAAACAAATTATTTAAATATTTAAGTCAGCAGGAACTGGTTTTATTCTGAGATTTAGAGGTCATATTTTGATACTGGCCCAATTTCTCTCTATATGCCTTCAGACACTTAATGAAAATGATGAGAAATCATTCAAAGATATTTGTTTCTCATTATATAAAAAATCCACTACTAGAGATGCTCATACACATAGAGAAAAACAAACAAAAACATTATTTATATTGTCCCCCAGGGTGCAATTCAACCACAATCAAAATTTACAATTAAAACTAACAGTTAAAATTACATGAAAGCAATAAAATCTGTACATACCATTTTACATATTTATAGTCACAGGGTTAGCTCCAGGTTTGAGCTACACTCATCTAAAAATTGGTGGGTAGAGACCTAATTTGATCAAGAAATATGCCCCAATTGAATATATTGATGGTCATTCCAGCTTCAAAGGAACCAATGGACTATCCAGTTGGTGACAGACTTCTAAGAAGGTCATATTGCTTTCTTCCATTCTTCCTAACTGCTTCAGGGGCAGCGATGCCAGTTCTAGGCTGCGTACTGCCAAAGTTACGACTGACTCCCTCCTCGCCAATAGAGCAAGACCATCAGCCAAGTAGTTGCACCAGTACATGCCTAAAGGGGATGGTTCTGCTTCACATTTGGAGCATCCAATTTATTTTGCTCCCCCACTTTTGCCATCTGGAGCAAAATCAAAACTGTAATGTTTGTGATGGACAATTGTCTAAATCACTCTCTAAATTACTTCTTGTTCGTTTGACTCATGTTAAAAGGTTTTTGTTTCATCCCTTTTTTGAGATACCGAGTCCTGAAGGGGACTTTCAACACTTAGATGTGCCCCTATCAACAGATATGGCCGGCCGTCCTTTGCATCTATTTCCTTCCGCTGCGGCTTCTGGCAGAAGGAGTTACCAGAGACTACTATCTGGGGATTCACAATGTGGACTGGAACTATGCTCCGCTGGGAAAGAATGCCGTCACTGGACAAAACATTGCAAATGACCCGTGAGTCTAAATTTCTATATCCCCACGACCCAGTGCAACGTAGGTACATCGAATCACTCCAGAGCTGCATACAAAAAACTGGAGGCTTTTAGCCGAAATGTACGGCATGCATCACATCGTGTGAGGCATAGTAGCTGATCTCTTTTATCTAAGGAATTGGAGAATTTCCACGCTACAATAATGTAATGTATAAAATGCGCATCGATTATCAGAGGGAAACGTTCAACATGTCATGTAGTACCATTACACAGTTTGCCATCCCTAAAACTAGCCACTGTGTAGTCAGTCATCTTTCCAGACGGCAGGTCCGGCCATCCGCAACGGCCTGGAGAAATTAATACCAAATTAAAACGACTTGAAATTTAGTAAGATTGCTAAATTTCGTAAGTTTTCAGCCATTTCACCCTCAGGATTTTAGTCAACATTAGTAACATTTTGAATTCATGAGATTTTGGATATTTTTAATGTACCCTTTAAATTAATGATTTAATTCTGGGGAGTGTAAATGGTATTTAGAAGCATCACAGGCACATTTGTCAGCAAGTGGCTAATTTTCTGAGCCCACTGCTGTAACATTTTGATTATTTAGTTTTACATATATGATTTGGAGCCAAATTTGCTGTGACACGTTGAAATTTATGATAAAGATCTCTGTGCTTAAATTATTTCTATAGTTACATTTTCTTGACTGTAGCCCTCCGGTCAAAGTTGGTGGTTTGTGTGTGTCTGTGTGCATGTTTGGAAGAGGAAAAGGATGAAGCGGTTAACAGCTGATGGGAAGTGTTGAGAAAATGGCTCAATTTCCTTTCCTTGGCACCATGATTGCAATTTGACCTGAAGCCCCCATCAGCTACTTATTTTAAAGAATTTGGCTTTCAATTACTTTAAAAGCCAAATCAGTTATCTCCCCCTGACATTGAAGTTGGGTGGTAGGGAGACAAAATTGCAAAAGAAAGAAATGCTGCACATTATACTGGAAGGAGTCTGAAGGGACAGTTTAAGACAGTGGTCATAAGAGGTCCTGTAGGACTAAGATACCATTACGGGGGGTGGGGGGGGGGGGCTGGGATTATACTCAAACTACCTCTCAGCCACAAATGCCCAACAGTTGCCATGGTCTGAAATCTTAGTGGCTGTGTGGAGATTCCTGCTTCATCTGCAGATAGAAACTCAAAGTACACCACCGATCAACATGGACTTAGAACTCTAGCTGGGTGTTTTACGGTTGATAAAAGGGCTTAATGATAGGTGAGGTTGTATAGTTCTCTGCTGCAGCAGAACTTAATCTTTCCACTGGTATTTCCAAATGTTGGAGTGGGAAGTGACTAAGCAAGGGCCACATGCAATTTTCTAAAGACTTGCTGGTGAACTATAAATGTTCATATGACGTCAGGGAATAATTATTACATAAAGAGGGAGTAAACATACAAATTGTACTTTGTTAACTTATTTTAAACTAATCTGTCATGTTTAAATCATGGTTAGTTTCTATTACAATCCTATCAGCCCACATCTTTGCCCTAGCCCACCCGCTTTCTAGAATGTTAGTGTGGCCCTCAGCACTTAATCCAAAGACTAAGGTGGGCCTTGGCTTGAAAAATGTCCATTTCTGCTCTAGAACAACTTGTGAGCCTGTCAACCAAATCAAGCCACCAGCCATATGACATGCCCTACTAAGTGCTTGATAGCCTCCGACTGCTGTTCCTACAATTACAAGCAAATGTGAGAGGCCTGTCATGATCCCGATGTTTATGTTACTTACGTTCTCTATTGTTCTTGGGTGCTGGATTGAGATGGCCTTTTGATCATCCTGCTAACTGAGCCGATACACTTTTACCCAGAGGCAAACCTTACTAGGTTCAGTGGAGCTGCTTAGAATAGCCCAAATTTGGTCCAGTGTCCAGTTTCCCATCATGACAGATGAGATGCATTCCCTTGAAACTCTCAAGGTGAGCATTAGCACAAGAACTCCCTACCCACTCCATCATTCCCCTCACTCCTGCTTTACTATTGTGTAGTGACATCCTGTGTCTACTGTAGAACCAAAGTCTCTCCTTTTGGTCATTTATCAGTGATGACATTAAAGAGAAACTTGGGTTCTAGATACAGGATGTGATCATCATTGATTGACCTGTTCTTGAGGAATCTGTCTGAACCTCCTTCAATTCCCTCCAAACTCCAAGCACCTCCATACCTTGTGGCAACAAATTATGTAAGCCAGCTACACTTTGAGTAAAGAAATATTTAACTTGTCTGCCCTGTCAGCCTATTTGATTGTATGATTGAGTGTTAGACTTCTAGCTAAAGGACAACAATGATTCTCAGAAAACATTTTCACATGTGATAATCAGTGTTATCTTCTGAGCTCTGTATGCCAGCCAGGTTCATATAATTTTGTATCAGAGGGCATATTCCATGCCATATTGATTCCATTCTTTCTGCCCTGTGTTAAAAGCAGTCAGCCACACTTGCAAATAGCATGAGAGATTTTCAAAGGGACTTTTAGCATCCAACTAGAGATAAGACACTGGTGTGAATTTAAATGGAAGTTGCTACCAACTTTGTCTCAACTTTTGTCTTTTTCTTTCCAGCATAGCCTCCTATTTCCTCCAACCTGCCAAGGACAGGATAGGTGGGATTTACAGGAAATCTATCTATAAGCAATACTCTGATTCCACATACATGTCAGAGATATCCAAGCCTGCCTGGCTGGGATTCCTTGGGCCCATCATACGAGGTGAAGTGGGAGACACCATTACTGTACACCTGAAAAATTTTGCCAGCCGCCCATTCACCATTCACCCCCATGGTGTCTTTTACACAAAGGATTCAGAAGGTAAATGAATTTTCTCTCTACCCTCCCTCCTAAGAATATCTGCAAGATGTGATAGCTTGCATATGACTGATGACTCTTATTTAGCTGAAAAACTCAAACCACACTTTAGAGACCCCAGGTGGCCCTGCTAAGGAGAGAGCATTTGGTAACGTCTAGCAAGGCCCAGTAGAAATTAGGGAAACAGTTTGCCAGAAGACATCAGATGGTGAAACCACATTCAGAAGAGAACAGCTGAAAGCTCTGGATCAGCCCTTTTGTACTGTATTCCCTAGATATGCGAGGACCACAACTTCCAGAAAGTCCAGTCACCATTGCTGTTGGCTGGGACTGTTGTACTGCAGACTGGATGTGTCTAAAGGATGTCATGTTGGCAAAAGGTGAACTCAAAAAACGTCAACATCAAATTTACTATGTTCAGGCCTTGTACTGACTATCCTACAGTTAATAATATATAATACGTAATATACATCAACACACTGAGGAATTGACCACTAAATTTCTTGTGAAAGCTACGTTTGACTGGATGATGTCATTGATCCCTTATTCTAGGGGCCCTGTATCCTGATTCATCCTCTGAAGATCTTAAGAAAGATGATGCTGTCCCACCAGGAGGAAACCATACCTACACATGGACTGTTCCTAAGGACCATGGTCCAACTGCTGATGATCCAGCCTGTTTAACATGGATCTATCATTCCCACATCAACGCGCCAAAAGATATTGCCAGTGGCTTAGTTGGGCCTTTGCTGATATGTAAAGAAGGTAAATTTACCCTGAAAAATATGATTGGTTTTGTAGCCCCTTTTGAAATGACCTTACATATGTAGCAATAAGCTACAAATCTTTCTTGAGTATGTTCCAGGGTTCAGATTTAATTTAAGTTAAGCAAATTCTTATTTCAGAGCGGACAGTCTCTTTTTGGCTGGAAGACCAAGATTCCAGTGCAGGGTGACAGTGCAAAATAAATAGGGCTATGTTTTGTACTTTGTAGACAGCATTGTCTACTTTTTTCCTGAGACATAGTGGGAAATTGTTCTTAGTTTAGCAATATTAAATGTAATTTAGGGCCTGTATTACCAATTTTCTGTGTTTCCTATCTCAAAACGGAAGGAAACTTTCAAACCTGTAACAGCATACTGCAACTAAGGAAGCAAGATTCACATGGAGTTTTCTTAATCAGGTTTAATATCTAGAAGTAAGGGTTAGGATGCAGGATCTTGGAAACTGAATCAGCAAACTCCCTTATCGCTGATGGGTGAGTTCATTACAATGGAGTCTCTGTGACTTGTTTGAACCTCTTTTTCTCAGAATGTGAAACTGAACGGTGTAACTGCCCTTTTTCCAGATAAATCTGACACTGAAACATCCATCTGCTCTTCATTAGTTTTGAAAGATTAGCTTTTTTCAGCTTCAGTGAGCTCGGTTACAGAAACCATGCCCCTGATTTCTAGCAATTGTTCCTAGAGAAGGCAGAAAGAGAGAGAGAGATCTGAGATCACATGTCCTTGGGCAGGACATCCATCCTTCTCCATCTTAATTTTGGCACTTGGAGCACAAATGAAAAAGAAGAAAGCTGAATGAATTATTCCATTCGATATATTCTCCTGCTACAAACACATGAATATACATTTTAGATAAGAAAATTGTGCATTTCTAATCACTTGGTTCCCCATTTTGTCCTTTTTAGACTGCAGAGACTTCAAAAGTAGATGAACATGTCTTGGATCCATTCCTTAAAATCAGCAATTTCTTTCCTGCTCTATAAAATTATCCTCTTTGCACCAACTCAAGAGAGGCAAAGCCTCTCTTAATAAAATATTATCCTTAACTATAATATTTTGTCCCAAAATTACATATGTAGTGATTTAAATCCAGAATAAAGCTATAGCTGGACAAGACCAGATCATACAAATTAAAACAACTTCAAATTTCTTACAACACCAGAATAAAAAATCGATGTCCGCTCCCCTTTAAACATTCTTTGAAGGGTCCAACAAAAGCAAAATAATATTTTCTGATGAATTAATTTCATTTTGAAATCAGAAGTATATTTCACTTTTCTTAACACTTGGACCTACTGATTCTCCAATACTGGATATTCCAATTCTTCATTCCACAATTCAGATGAATAACTAACACTAACTTTCATTTTACTTTTTAATACCTCGTAACATTGAATTATTGGTTTTCCCTTCAAGCACTGCATCTCTTAAGGATCCTAAAATTGCAGATATCCGGCCATGCTGTTTTATTATTTCAACTGTATGCAGGGTGTACCTAAAGTCAGGCCCCACTGACAATTTACTGTATTATATAAATTACAATAAATATTCTAATTAGTTGCCATTTTCTTCTGAACACTTCCTTACTTGTTTTATTCACGCCCTTTGATCATTCCTGGACTGTTTTCTCTGAAACAAAATTAATTAATAAAACATATTGTGGTTGGCCTACAGGGCCTGACTTTTGGTACACCCTGCATATTATAGGAAAGTCATATTCAACACACAATCTCTCAAAGTCTCCCATTAGAAATTAAGTGATTTAAAGTGTTGGCCCCTTATTCAACCCAAGAGTTCCAGTAAAGCATCTTTCCCACTAACTTCAAATTTGGGTTATTTCTGTTTGGAACTCTCAAGTGATACAGGATCAAAATGTAATTGCTTACCTATCTATATGCATCTGCATGTAGATATATCCAATTCAATATAATGCGATATATTTCAAGAAAGATACAAATCCAAGTATTTTATGGAGTCTGTACAAATTGTAAATTCTAATCTCTTACAAGATAAAATAGATCTAGATAAAACAGTTTCTAAAGACAGCAAATTAGATTTGTTCTAGTAAATATTTTCGCCAGAGTATAAACTACATTGCTTGTATTATCCAATAACCTTTGGTAATGACGTTGCATAATTATCAAGGGTGGCCATAATTAGCTTATAAGAACAATTTATATTCAGTGTTATGTCCCATCACACCCTTAATATCATGAGATTGTCTAACAGAGGAAGCTAATTAGTCCAAGAAGCAAACTAAAGCTGGAGACAAGGGACAACTTGACAGGTTGAGAGATAAATCCATTAGTAATAACTTTAGCTGCTGGGTGAAGCTACCAAATTATAACCTAATGAATAAAAGATGGTAGAAACCCATATCTTCCTACAAGATACTTCATAAATTCAGTCTGAAGCATATCAAATACCTTTTCAGCCTCCAACAAAATTTCCACAGCTGATCTAAACTGATTTCAGTTTATCTGTTGTGATATCCCTCATATCAGTCATCAGATGGATATTGTTAGATGTTTGTCTACTTTTTTATAAATCTAAATTGTGATAGGTGAATTATGGACAGTATTGCTTTCTGTAGCCTCCTGTTGTAGTTAATATTTTAGCATCCACATTAAGCAAAGATACTGAAAACAGATGATAGCAGATTCTGTCTTGGTAAATAACTTACTGGCCTGAATTCCAGATATAAAACTTCATTGTTGTTGTTTCAAATGATCAGCTAATAACATTCCAGCTTCATCTCCTGATTTCCATTACGTATTTCTGGTTAATGCATTTCAGTATTCAAATAGTTCTCAGTGCAGAAGCCCCAGTTTAAGCTTTGCTGCTATAAATACTTTATATGATTCATTTGGGAGGTTTCTATGATATAAACAAAGCAAATTTTTAACCATCTTTTCTAACTGTATCAAATTAGAGTCAATGTCTTTTTTTGCTGAGGTGAAAGCAATAATGAAAGCAATTAAAATACATCTCAGAGAGGTAGGAGCATCTGGATTTGTTTCAAAAAAAGAACAAATTTCCTTCTCAATAAATTCCCCCAAAGGAGAACCTATTAGGAGAGAAATATTCAAGTACCATCCAAAACTAGCTGATTTACAGTTAATCTTTCTAAGCTCCGTGCACTTTGCCTTTGAGACTAGAAGTGGAGTTCAGTTGTGCAGGAGGAGAAGACACATATGATGGTCTTTCTAGAGCTAGAGTGTGGGGAGTGGAAGAAGGAGGCAGTATTTTTTAAAAAATACTGTAACACATTAAAGTAAGGTTGTGCTGTAATAAAATTATCACACCAGTAAAAGCAGTTTGGGAGAGCCATCTGTCTGATGTGTTACATTTACTACATACAGAGAGAAGTGAACACAGGAGATTATGCCAAAATCTGTTGTTGATGTTCCTGCACAGAGGCATGATCTGACTGTTAGTCCCTTTGGCTCAGTACTCCTCTGCTCTCCTCTGGCCAGTGGGACTGTCTGGTTTTCCTCTGTTAGGGATAACAGGGAATGAATCTGGAAGCGTTGAAAGTTTATGACCTACTGCTCAGTTAAGGGTCTTATTCTTGAAGCCTGGAACTCTTCCGTTTCAGGATCTTATCTTGCTTTATCCCTAAGGCAGGTTTCCACAAATTCCACAGCACCTCTCAAAAGTGATGGCCGATGACTTCTATCATCCTCAGCAAGCAGGTTGCTGTAGGTTCAGGAGTGTCCACGGGGTGTGATAAAAAAAATCAAGATGGTGGCCGTGACAGAGTACTTGAAGTTCTGCCCATTTTTAATGGGCATCACACCTGATCTCACCATCGTGACCACCATCTTGACTTTTTTACTACATGGAGCAATACCTCTGTGTAGGTTGCTGGAATCTTAGCTCCAGATGCTTCTGCTAGCACTAGAAGATCCTGGCTAGGTCAAGGAAGCCATTCTGCATCTCCACCCCACACAAAACAAAGGGGTGCTGGTGGTGTGGTCAGAGCCCAGTCCGTAACCTTCTTCTCCTTCAGGTTCAAACCTGCTGATGGAAGGAGCAGTCATTGCAGGGATTCCCAGCAATCCTCACCTGCCTTATATCAGCGGCCGGGGCCTTGGACAGGATTGCGCCTTTGTGACCTCTTTTGCCACGTCGGCCCCGACACTCCCCGTGGTTTACGGAGGAGTTG